CCTCCAGATGTTCTTGGACTACAATTCCCAGAAGCTTTCACTACCACCTCTGCTGCCCAGGATTTCTGGGAGTTGAAGTCCAAGAACATCTGGAGGCCCAAGGTTGGGGGACCACTGCCCTACACCACATTATCAGCTGACAGATGCTTGTGTTGTTGTCATTACACGCTATCAGGTTGCCTCCAAGTTACAGTAACGCTATGAATGCGTTTTCTCCAAAATGTCTTGTCCTCAACAGCCCTGCTTACTCTTGTGTCCTGCGGCTTCCTTGAAGGAGTCAATCCATCTGGCAAAGAACTCTAAGCGCCTCATCAAACCGCAAGTCCCAGGAGCCTGTGTGAGGGACCCATGAGAGTGAATGTGATTCTAAAGTACTATAGTGTTCAGAATCATCTGTGAGCTATGGGCGATTTTGTAACCAGCCCATCTGCGCAGCTCCTGATGGAAACGCCAACCTCTGCTTGATTGGCGAAATCCATGCACTATGAATAGGCAACCTGGTTGTCCTCATGCCGGTGACAGTATTCTCCTGACAGTGAGAACAGTTCTGCTGTCCTAAACTGTGGAACTCCCTCCCACTGGAGGCCAGCCTGTCCCCATTTGTATTGTTCTTTCACAAGCAGGCCAAGACCTTTCTCTTCAGGCAGGCTTTCCCTGAGTAAATGGCTGCCTGTGTGGGGTTTTAAAACCAGGCCGGGTAGGTGGGGCTCGTCAGCCTTGGAAGGCAGCCCATCTAGGAGAAGGAAAATTCTGATTTCAAACCTCCACTCCCTTGTGGCTATATCCACTCATGGAAAAGGCTTCAGGAGTTAACCTCGAGGCAAAATCCCAAAGGCAGCATGTGCTGAAGTCCCAAAGGCAGCATGTGTCATTCTGCCAACTCCTGCGACATTGCTGGAACCAGTTGTATTGGCTCTTGCCTTTCCATTGGACCATTTCAGCAACATGGAGAGGGGGGATCTGCTGCTTGGGTAACAGCCTATCCTCCATACTACTTTACCCAGGCTTCATGCTCTGGAGAGGACACTCCTCGACAGAGCATGTTACCATAGACTCTCAAGACTGAAGGATGCCTATGATGATGATGAACCTCTGTCTCTACCCTCTTCTTCTGTTCTATCCCCGCTGTTTTCCCCAGAGTCCCTTCAACGGTTAGCTTTTGTATTCTTTCTTCTATTTCTTCATTTCTATCCCTCGCTGCTCTGTTCTCTTAGCGGATGAGGCAGGCAGAGTTTCTACCTCCTTGTCTGCTGTACGGAGGAGGGCATGGCGCTCCGGCCCCCTCTCTCACAGTTACTGCGTTGAATGTCATTTTTTAAATGCTTATCTGTGCTTTTTTAAAGTACAGTGGTGCCTCGCTTAACAAGCGCACCGTTTAACGACGAATCCGCATAGCGATCTGTTTTTTCAGATCGCTAATGCGATCGCATTGCGATGTTTTCAATGGCAAAACATCGCATTGCGATGATCGGTAAGCGTTTCGCTTACCGATCTTCGCATTGCAATGTTTTTTTAAACAGCTGATCGGCGGTTCCAAAATGGCCGCCGGACACCCAAAATGGCTGCCGCAACCATTTTCACACCCTGACCTCGCTTACCAAGGGCTTGAAAATGGTGGCGCTATGGAGGAACTTTGCTGAACGGTGAATTTGGGGCTCCATAGGAAGGCATTAAACGAAGTTTAATGCGTTCCTATGGGGTTTTTTGATCCGTTTAGCAATGTTTTTGCATAGCGACGATTAATCCAGAACAGATTAACGTCGCTATGTGGGGCACCACTGTATTGTATTCATTTGATCCTTTCAGTTTTGTATACTCACTGTTGTTAGCTTAAATGCTGTCCTTTAAATGTTGTAAGGGACTTCAAAAATATTTCCAATGAATGAAATAATGTATATTTACTGTTTAACAGTTCCAACTACCACTGGAAGAATTTACAAATATTTTGCGTGCAAAAATAATAATAGCAAAACTGTTCTGCAGAACATCTTTTTAAGAAATCTTTATTTTATAAAATGCATCTTTTTTTTGGCAAAAAGTATAAAAAATATATATAAACAACAATGTACATAAATATATTATTATTTAAAGACATGTTATTCTTCTTTTACAAAGACATATAAAACATTACAGTTAGTGCCGTAAGAATTTTTTGCTTGGTGCTGTTGTCAGTCAAAGCCCTATTGGCTACCCCGTTGCCATTGTTCAAATAAATAGGTCATTGTGAACAGATGTGTGTATGCTGAGTCACTGTGACTGCTGAGGAGATGATGCAATGTCTGAAGATGAGAAGACACCCAGGTGCAGAAGATGTTGTAATGTGTCTTCTGATTGGACTAAAGAAGCCTTGTATATGTATATAAGTGAACAGTGTGTTCATAGATTTCTCTTCTCTCTCCACCATTTGCTGCTATCCTGTATGCTGGTTTGTTTTATTATTATTATTATTATTATTATTATTATTATTATTATTGGATTTATGCATAGTTTTTCTGCCCAAAGACATCGAGGCAAGGTACAGTATGAAACAATAAATACATTAAAATCACAGAGCAAACAGAAACAGAAATGAAACATGATTTAAAACAGACCCAGACAATGTCAGAAGATAAAGTTTGCACAAGTGATAAAACTTTCCTTCCTGCCTCTAGCACTTTGCAGACCTCTGGGCCAAACAAACTCCAATTTCCAAAATTTCTCAGTTCTCTAGAGGAGGTTTTGGGAGTGCATGAGAAGATGGAGCCGAGAAAGGTCACTAGGTGCACAAAGGAAATCTGTCTACAGAAGCCCCTTTTTGGATTTTTATGATCCCGTTTCCTTTTGTCCTCCTCCCTCCTAATTCTGTCCCTCTTTTGTGCTACTCTTTATTGACATCGCTTGTATCTCACTCAAGAATGTTCTCCAGGCAGCTAGCCAGAAACCTTAAAAACAAAACAAACAAAAAAATAATGATAATAAAAATAAAATAAAAAAATCCAACAAAGTCCTAAAAACCAAACAGCAGAAAAGTGGGTCACATACTACAAAAGTATCTAAATAAAAATTAGCAACAGCAACCATGTAAACAGCAGAGCTGAAAACACTGAATATTTTAAAAGTCTTCTTGAAATGTTTTCACGAAGGCTTTCACGGCCAGGATCTAATAGTTGTTATGGGCTTTTTGGGCTCTTTGGCCATGTTCTGAAGGTTGTTTCTTCTTGAAATGTCGGGAAGAACAAAATAGGTCTTTACTAGGACAGAAAAGAGTATAATATGAATAGTAGGGGGAAGTTCTTCCGGAGATCCTTCAGGTAGCCTGACTTCACCCCTTTCAAGACTTTCAAATTGGGTTTGTTTTTTGTTTTTATGTTGTTAGCCGCCTAGAGTGGTCTTAACCAACCAGATAGGCGGGATATAAATAAAATAAATAAAATAAAAAATAAATAATTTTTGTTTTTGTTTTAATTATTGTAAGGCTGGGGTGGGTTATTTATTTATTTATTATTGAGCTTTGTGAGTCCATCTTTTTTCAACTAAAATGGAGGCAGGAAAATGCTGATATTAAACACGCCAATAAATCTCCGCCAAGTAATGATCAGAGTTCAAACAGCTGCCTATCGATGACACGACCCTACCAGGTAGGTAAGTCTTGACTAGTCCCTCATAGTTTACATGCGAGGAGGAAAAGAAGGGTCAGCTCTTGAGCTATTTGCATGAATTTGATCCGTTCTGAACAGGCATGGAATTCCGCTATATTTAAAGACACATTTGAGTGAAGCACCTTTAAAAAAAAATAAAACCATCCTTAACAGGACTAGTTCTGGTGGTAAAATGGACTCTTTAAAGATATTTGCTCCTTCCTCTCTCTCTCCTCCTGGGAGGGGGGAGAACCAAATTTTCAGGTATTGCTCAGCTTCCCTATTACCAAAACCCACAGTCAAACGTGTGGTTGTGTGCATATAAATATCTTAAAAATAGCACATGATTAAATCTTAGTTTGAAGGGACAACATATGAGGGTGACAAGAAACTTTTTAAAAACATACACTCTAGACCGACCAGCGGCAGCTTTATAAGGCTATTAAGTATGTCAAGAACGTGTATGCAGACAGAATAATAAATAACAGCAGATGGTCAAAGCAAGTTCACATCTTTTCCTTGTCAGAAATCATTAAAAACAACCCCTGTGAGGTAGATAAGTATAATCAGTATTACAAATTGGAAAGAGAGACACAATAGGAGTCAAAGTCTGAAACCCATTCCTGGTTTGCATTGCTGCTTCTCCGAGCTGAAGACAGACACTTCAGCGGAATGACGTCTTGAGCCGTCCACTTTGGTTCGATTCCGCACATGCTGGAATGGAACCAAAATGGTGCCAAACCACCTGCACCAAAGAAAAAGAAAAAGAGAAGCAAACACTAGTCCCTGACAGAGCCAAAGTGGTATGGGTACCAATGGATCAGGGCCAGACTGGTTCACGACTGTCCATACATCATGTGATCACCAGGAAAGGGAGCAAACTAGTCCATCCGTAAACCATAGGACAAATCCCCATCTAATCTCACCCTATGAATTGAATATACATCCAGTATCTTCTATCTTTCCTTTAAGCAACTCAGCCAAGGTTGATGGACAAGCTGACCCACCAGGCACCATGAAACATCCAATTCTGGACTGCACTAGGGATCAAACTGAAAGGGAATGTAAATTCTCTATAATTAATCCATTTTCATTCCTCCTACAAAATAGTTTTTGTTATGTTTGGCAATCAGTCTGGCAAACCAAGTTTACTTTCCAATGACCCACCATCACACAGAAGTAAGTAAAATGTGGTGTGACAAACAGATGTCTTCTGCTACTTGAGAGAGCACCTCTTCTAAAAACACAATAAAATGTTTAATGGGTTTAATCTTACGGCTGCAATGTTATACTTATTTACCTGGAATAGGTTCCACTGAGTGCAGATTTAACTTTTGTGTGTATAATTATGCTGTAAATTATGCACAAATGGAAAACAGACACCTCTGATTCAGACAGCAAAAATCTACCAGGTAGTTTAAACCTTCCTGATGAATCACCTGTCATATCAGTTAGTGGAAGAAGGGCTGCTATCAGGATTTTCTGACTAGGTCCCCCTGAACATCTCTTTGATTTATTCAATTTGATGATTAGTGACCTTATAGATGTCTCTAGCACCCATCATCAAAGTAGCAAACAGCTAGATAATAAATAATTTTGAGCACAACACAATAAAATAAAACACTAGCATCAGGCACTCATCATAAAAGACAGAAAATAAATATTTTCAGCCCAACTGTAGGCTTATACAAATATAAAAAGGGCTGGCTGGTATTTTTAGCCCTGCAGATAAATGGTGAAAAAAAAACTTGTTAAATATTATTAAATTATTATTAAATATTGTCCTGGCGGGGTGTGTGTGTGTTTCCAGCAATGGCCATGAAATATTTCTCTTCATCTCTTATCTTCCAACCTTCCTCGTAACCTCAAGTTCGGTGCTAACTGCCACCGCTGACATTGTTAAGTTGCTGAATTCAATGAGCAAAAGCAGAAATCAAAGACAATTTTTTTTTCTTTCGATAGAGACAAATCCCTGAGATTAATTCAAATAAATACTAGGGCGAGAACAGTAAGGCGGATTGATACTCAAGTGATGGACAGAGGAATGCAGTAATAAATAAACAAGGGTCTGGGAAACAGGACCGTAATCCAGAAGGGGCCAGCTGGGCAGGAAAAAGGGTTGCCATAACCAGAAGAGACCAAGGACGAAAGAGAAATCATGGCACGGTCTTCAGTTTCCTTCTTGAAAAACTGACGTTGACCCTGCTTTGGAAAGAACAGCAGCTCAAACCCAGCCTGGATCCGGTAAAAGGCCTTCTGGGTTTTCCTTTCTCCATCTCTCCGCGAGGTCCAAAGAACGATGGAGACATCCAGGGGCCCCGGACGCCCTCGCGTCTACCGGCTGCATTTCCCCATGGTGTACGCCGCGTCCGAGATGACCTCCGTGTACCTTTTCAGCACCTGGCACCCGTACTGTTTTTTCTGGAAGATGTCGGAGCTAGAGCTGTTGCCGTAGGTCACGTGGACGTGGTGGACTTTGTACCTGGAGCACAGCAGGCAGGTGAGGTTGGCCAAAAGGCCGCGGGACATGTTGGTGGTGTTCCTGAGCCTCCTCAGAAGGTCCTCTTTCTCCTTGTCGTCCGTGCTGAGGTTCTCCTGGTCTCGGGTGATGTTGCCGAGGGAGGCGTTGAAAAAGGCGAAGATCTTATAGAGAGAGAGTAGGTTCCTCTCGCTGTCCGTCCGATCGAAGGCAGGGAAAGTCTTGTCCGCTTTACAGAACTTGTCTGGGTGGTTAGTGAAGGGTTCGCCCTGGCGGTCCAGCTGTGGAGGAACAAAGCGGAAAACCTGCTTTAGGACTCAAAGAAATACAATACTGTATTTGAAGTCCAGACCCTTAGCGGCATCTAGTATTTGTACCCCTTAGAAGTTTTGGGGTGGGATCAGGTGATGCTTCGCCCTGCAGTTTGGACCGCTTTGCGAACAGCCTGGTTCGCTCTGTTTTGTGGTAATCACAAAGCGGGCCAGCCCTTTATCCTTCCTGATTTATTGATTTATTGATTTATTGATTTATTGATGTATTGATTTATTGATTTATTGATTTATTGATTTATTTTATATCCTGCCTATCTAGTTCATAGACCACTCTAGGCGGCTCACTGTCAGATGGGTAGGGTCACTTTGTATTTTTTTTTATTTTGGGTTTAATTCCAGCATGTGGGAAAGCCAAGATTGATCCAAACCCCAGGCCACCTATCCATAAAGAAAAAAAGTTTATTTTTTTTTAAAAGGAAAGTTTTTTTAAAATTCCAGTCTTCTCTAGAGGTGGAAATAGAAGGTGGGGGAAAAAGGGGAACCTTTTTGATGTGGTTGTTTGGTTGTTAAAAGCCCAGCGCTCTGTCACTTGCAGGCGAGCTGATTCACCAGCATGCCAGTGACTTGTAAACTGTTAAAAACGACAACGTTCCTCCACTCCCCATGGGAGAGGATGGGGGTGCCAAATGAGGTTGCCAGTAACTCTTTCGAGCTCTGGCGTCCAAGAGGAAATTGTCAAGTTTCAAACTCCTCCACGTGTCAGCTATCAGATGCAAACTGCTATTGCCATGACATCTACATTCCAAGTGCTAAGGGGGGAAGCTTTGTGGAAACGGACATGTGAAGAGGAAAACCCACCAAGACCCAACTGGGGAGTTGGACAGGCGAGACTTCTCCCCTCCCATGATCTGTAAAATGTGTCAAACACTGCTGCTGCTGCTATTAGATACCCAATGGGAAATGCGACCAAATACGGTGGTGCCTTGCTAGACAATGATAATCCATTCCACTGAAATCATTGTTTAGCGAAATCATCGTCTAGTGAAAAACATTTCCCCATTGGAATGCATTGAAACCTGTTTAATGCATTCCAATGGGGAAGAATCGTCATTTTCTAGCGAAGATCCGCCATAGGAAAGGCGCTTTGTAAACCACCGATCAGCTGTTTAAATAGCTGTCTTGCGAAGCTTGGGTCCCGAAAACACCCATTTTGCGAGCCCGGAGGGAGGTGTCAAAATCGTTGTCTAGCAAAAATCGGTTTGCGAAGTAGGGACCAAACATTGTCCAGTGAAATTCCCCCATAGGAATCACTGTTTTGCGAAACGCTATAGCAATTGCAAAAAGTCAATGTCTAGCAAAAAAACTGTCATGCGGGGTAACTGTCTAGCGAGGCACCACTGTATTACAAATACAGCTACGTGGCATGCTGAGAACATTTAGATGTTTCTGGTTATAAAGGCATCCAGAATGGGGATTGTGGGTCTCAAAACTAGAAGTGTGCTTTGGGGTTCTCTCCTCCTTGTTTTTCTCCTTCCCCCTCCCACCTCCGCGCCTGCTTCAGCACTGAAACCCCCTTCCTGTTGACCCGCGCAATTTGTGCTTGTCTGTTCGCACAGATCGCCGCAAGAACGTACATAGGTGGTGAAGAGGCCGTGGGCCGACATGTTGAGTTGTGCGATCTGGCAGAACTGTCATGCGGGGTAACTGTCTAGCGAGGCACCACTGTATTACAAATACAGCTACGTGGCATGCTGAGAACATTTAGATGTTTCTGGTTATAAAGGCATCCAGAATGGGGATTGTGGGTCTCAAAACCAGAAGGGTGCTTTGGGGTTCTCTCCTCGTTTTTCTCCTTCCCCCTCCCACCTCCGCGCCTCCTTCAGCACTGAAACCCCCTTTCTGTTGACCCGCGCAATGTGTGCTTGTCTGTACGCACGGATCGCCGCATGAACGTACATAGGTGGTGAAGAGGCCGTGTGCCGACATGTTGAGTTGTGCGATCTGGCAGTGGATCTCAGAAGGGTGCTTTGGGGTTCTCTCCTCGTTTTTCTCCTTCCCCCTCCCACCTCCGCGCCTCCTTCAGCACTGAAACCCCCTTTCTGTTGACCCGCGCAATGTGTGCTTGTCTGTACGCACGGATCGCCGCATGAACGTACATAGGTGGTGAAGAGGCCGTGTGCCGACATGTTGAGTTGTGCGATCTGGCAGTGGATCTGAGCTAAGACCTTCGCCTTGCAGCGGCTGACGTTGCGGCACATGGACTCCTCTTGCGTCAGTGGGAACGCTCTCGCAGAGAGTAGTCCGAAGTGTGTGGCCAGCAGCAAAGGGAGAACTCCTGCTTTGAAAAAAAAAAAAGAGAAACAGAAATGACTTAAGCTGCCTGGCGGTTGACGAAGCCTTCTGCCTTGTAATCAAACCAGGCCAGTTCTGAAATGCAGGCTGTCGTTCTGTGATTCTCTCCTCCACGAAACACGACAGAGAACCTCCAGAAAGGCAAAGAGTTATGTTTACATACATCCGCAACCCTGTGCTATTGGGATTCATTGCCACCTGGAGCAGGTCTTCTGCAAAGCCAATGAATCTTAGTTGCCCACTTAAGGCAAACGTCACCTCAACATAGTTAGCAACCAGGATATCCCAGGATATATTGTTGCTAGGAAAATTCTGCCCCCATGGATGATTCCAGCTAAACTCAGAGAGGCAACAGGAAAAATCTCAAGGGAACAGCAACCAAGGATGCGATGGGTGTAATCCAAATGAGAGCGATACATAGTGCCCCTGATTCTGTTCCACTTCTTTCCTGGATCCAAATCCATCTGTAAACGTGCATCACCAAAATGGCTATATAGCTTTTTTTTTGTTTTTTTGATCAGGAGACATGATAAACCCTTTTAAAAAAGAAGTAAGCCTTCCAGAGTTAATAACAGTGGGGCTGCGTACTGGCCCCTAAACATTTTGCTTCTTTCACGCAACAGCTAGTAAGGTGAAACTATTTGTGCCCTGGATCCAAATGAATTTACAGTGGTGCCTCGCTAGACGATGATAATCCGTTCCACTGAAATCGTTGTTTAGCGAAATCATTGTCTAGCGAAAAGCATTTGCCCATTGGAATGCATTGAAACCTGTTTAATGTGTTCCAATGGGGAAGAATTGTTGCTGTCTAGCGAAGATCGGCCATAGGAAAGCCACTTTGCGAACCGCCAATCAGCTGTTTAAATAGCTGTCTTGCGAAGCTCAGGTCCCGAAAACACCTGTTTTGCGAGCGCGAAGGGAGCTGTCAAAATTGTCGTCTAGCGAAAATCGGTTTGCGAAGCAGGGACCAAACATTGTCCAGCGAAATTCCCCCATAGGAATCACTGTTTTTCGAATGGCTATAGCGATCACAAAAAGCCAGTGTCTAGTGAAAAAACTGTCATGCGGGGTAACTGTCTAGCGAGGCTATAAATTCACTTCACTTCGCCCCGGAACCAAATTTGGACATTTCGCTTTGAGCCCCACGTCCCGTGAATGAATCTAAATCAGGCCCAATTCATTTAAGTCCTTGCACAACCCTCATCAGAACATCTCAGCATTTCAAACCCTGGATGCCGTCCTCAACAGGATATAACATTCAACACCAGCCAGTCAATATAGACTTTTCATCTTTTGGAGGCACGTAGCAAGTGAATCAGCCCTCGGGTTTTGTTCTGGCGGCTGCCGTTCTGGGAAATGAATGGGCAGCATGACTCTCCCTCTGATTGGCTCCGGATTCCTCTTTCTCCCAACACTGTCCTGCCGTCAAAGGCATTCTTCTCTCTTAGGCCACCCACCACTCCTGTGCTCCGTCTGCCGATTCATGCAGCCCTGCCCAACTACTGTACGTCATCAGAATTCCCCGTCTTGACTTCCATGCCAAGTGGCAGGATTCCCAGATTTCATAACCGCCAGCCCCAAAGGCTGTCAAATATGCAAAGCATTTCTGCAGCTCCACACCTGAACCGGGGGGGGTGTGGGATCTGCAAAGCCTTTCCTCTAAGAATCTGTAGCCTGTGTTTTTTTCTGTTTTTGTCAACAATTCTTCTCAACCGGCCACAAGTCTGAGATTCTTTGCTAGATGCCAGGAGCCCTCGATCCCTGGCAACTCCCCACAAAACCCTAGCCCTGATCATTCACAGAGCGATGACAAAATGTTTCAGAATTGTCTTGGTTTGCATTGAGACATGGAGAGAAAGTCCATTGAGGATTCTCTGATTTCCACAAGGGCTCCCGCATCCAGTGCAAGACTGAGACGTCAAGCACTTTTTGAGGGGTTCAGTTTTCCCAAACATTTTTTGCAAAAAGGAATCCTTTTTTCCTTTGTGAAGCTAAGCATACGGAGAGACAGACAGAGCAAACACAGAAGGAAAAACACATCGCCAGAAGGACATGAAGAAATCTATTCAGTGCTGCTACTGTTTCTCGTCTGGCAACCGGGCGATGCCAATCAGAGTTACACTTTTTTAAAGAAATGTGCAAAAACCATATTTGAGCCGAAACTATGCAAAATCCATCTGAGACTTCCTTTTAAAAAAATCTAGCCACATTGCATCAAAGAGGTTTGGAAGGGGGGTATCTTTGGTCATGGGGCATTTTTATTTAATTTTTTTGCTTTCGTTTGGGCATTTTTTAATTTACCATGAACAAATGAAGGACAAACCAGGTCAGGAGTTACACCCCTGGTGATGCATTAACCATCACTGCATATGATCTAGAAGGCTCAAAGAAACGTAAGCGTGCACATTTCAGCATCTAAAGCATGCACATTTAACACTGTTACATTTTGGGAATATAAAAACTATAAATTCTTTTCCCATCTTTTGTTTGTATGGGGTTGCAAGCCTTTTAAAAGAGGGTTTTAAAAAATATATATACTTTAACAATTCTTACATATATGCATTTTCCTCTGTACAGTATTTCTCTTTTCTCCAGTTTTGTAATGTTAAGTATGCAAAGGTAATTTGCTCCTCCAGAAGCCTCGTACACCTGCAGACTTCAAAAATCTGTTCCGTCTCACCGAGATTCCCATGTGAGAATCTTGGCCCTAAACTCAGGCCTCGAGAAGGTGCAGAAGATTAGTCGAGCATCATAGCGACAATTCAGTTCTTTCCATTCCCAAGTGAAATGGGCTTAGAAAAAAAAGGAACGGGTCTGGATGGAATCAGTCCCTCTGGAATTGACTGGGACACTAAGAGGTTAAATGGGACACAGGGAACAGAGAAAGGGTGGCACCTACAGCTTGAGGGTATAAGAGAGGGTTGGCATGACATGGAAAGGGAACCTGATGGGAGAAGGCAGTGCCAGGCATGTATGGGTGGAAAATGAATGAGCGCATGTGGAAAGAGGAAATCCATCACAAGCTACCACTCAAGAGGGAACAAGCCAAGGCAGGGCATGACACGGAAGCTGAGCCAGTTCGGGACAAGATTGCACAAGGGAGGGGTGTGTTTGTGTGTGTGTGTGTGCCGGGACAAGACTGCACAAGGGGTGTGTGTGTTTGTGTTTGTGTGTGTGTGTGTGTGAGAGAGAGAGAGCTGACAATCAAAGCCAAAGGTTGGCGTGCAGACACAGGGGGAACAAAAGCTGTGGGTGTTGTGATCCCTGAGCCAAAAGCTGCTTCTGACAATGAAAGCCAAAGGTTGGCGTGCAGACACAGGGGGAACAAAAGCTGTGGGTGTTGTGATCCCTGAGCCAAAAGCTGCTTCAGAGTCCAGAGACATGGGACAGCTACACCACCAAATGGGATCCGGTGTATTGATCATCATCATCATCCTCTTAGAACTGGAAGGGACCCTATGGATTATCAACTCCAGCCCCTGCCAAGGAGGCACAGCGAGGAACTGAATGCCCACCCTCGGTTCTGCAGCCAGATACAGAAGAAGGGGAACCGAGGGTTTGATTCGATCCGAATGTTTGACTCAACTATCTGTTTTGTACTTCCTGGAAAGTACAAAACCAACAGCGATCTTTGTGATGCGGTTCTCAGCGCAAAAGGGGGTATGAATGCGAATCTTTTGATAAGACGGAAAGAAAATGGTGTCAAATTAGGCCAAATGCTGACAAAGGCAGAAAATTCATTCAAAAAATCAATACGGAATGATAAAATGCATACTGTATATAATTGGCTGGAACATTCAGGAACCTATAACCCAGAAAAATAACTTTTCCAAGCTCTGATTTTAATTGCACCACAATGGATGGCTCTGGAACTCGATGACCTTATCTTTTTTTTTTAACCCCATGTATTTTGTATTCCAAAGTATAGTATTTCTGTGCGTGGATATTTCATTTATCATGAATGGCAATAGTCATTAATTGTCTATTTTTTAAAAAAAAGAAAACTGGTCTCTTACCATTATCAATGGATATTTCATGAATGGCAATAGTCATTAATTGTCTATTTAAAAAAAAGAAAAAGAAAACTGGTCTCTTACCATTATCACATCTTATGGGGGTAAAGTTAAGCATTTTACAAAACAACCAACGAAAATTCAATCCACAATACATGGGTTACACTTTCAAAAAGCCCAGTGAGTTGTTTTTTAAGCATACTTTTCTCTCTTAGTTAAGATAGGGTGAAAAAACTAGTCAAAAAGCTGTGGCTAGATACGGTATATACAGTATTTTTTCCATTTATACTTTTAGACACCTACATTTCTCCACTTCTCTACTTTGTAAAGGACAAGTGGAGAGAGCTGTCCGTTAACTCCTGCCATCTAGAGCTGAGCTCTTGATAATTTGTCCCAGTGGCAATTAACATCGTATAGGACAAGACCGCATGAAGAAATAAACATAACACAAACAGAGGCTAAGTCTGGCGAGATTAGACAAACATAAACCAGGAAACAGAACAAGGAAGAAGGGGGGAGGGGGAAACCCCAAGAATCCAAAACCAGCAGAACAGACTATGCCTTACAGTTAACCAAATTTTTAGCAGGTTAGCACATGTACGCCTCCATCCTGGCGTGGGTTCCTCTGTGCCAGGGGTTGAACACAGCCTTAGAACAAAGCTGGTATCAACCACTGAGTCTCCGTTTCTCTTTCTTACATTCTTTCTTTTTTAAAAAGTTTTCTTTAAAAAAACCCCTACAAATTGAGACTTCAACGAGCCAGATGTTTGCCAAGCGGCCCCCTTCCCACTTTCTCGCCTCATCTGCCCAGATGTTCAGCACCACATGTGCCAGGGAATGGCATGCGGTGAGTTCCTCTCCTGCAAAAAAAAAACACCGAGGAGGTGTTTATGCTAAAACAGGAAAGGAGGTGTAAGAGCATTCAAGCTGGTTCTGCTCTGGATGAAAGAGTGGGCTTGGTGGACCTGGAGAGTCTCCCCCCCCCCAGGGCCGAGGGGGATCTCTGTGGGTCCCCGGAAGGTGGAAACCTAGAAGGGAAGATAGATAAAGCCCTCGGTGGAGAAAAGGTGGGTTACCTGCAAAGGTAGCTTTCATGGTCAGCTGCATCCTGGGGGGTGACGTAACAGCGAGGGCTTGCTGATAGGAGTGTTCATTCAAAAAGTGATGCTTGACAACTGGTTTATATACGGTTGGTGAGTCTGTTGAAAAGAAAGGGGGAGGGAAAGATCACCGATCCGTGGTTTTGGAAAAGCACTTCCTAAGAACTTTGAGGTCATTGCATTTTCTGGGGAGTTTTTTTTTCTCTCTCTTTTCTCTTTTTCCCCCTCTCCCCCCCCTCACTCCAAATTGCTCATTTGGGAATTTTGATGCAAATGCAGTGGCCTCGTCAACCAACTTTCTCCCCCCCCCACAAAGAGGGGAGGGAGGGGGGAAGCGAGAGAGAACAGCCTCGCTATCTGTACCATCAAGGCACGAGTCATACCCGAGGAAAAGACTTGACATCACAGCCGCCCTCCTCCCGTGTCTCTCTCTGTGTTGTGTGAGTGTGTGCGTGCGTGGGGGGGACCCCGAGCGGAAGGCACTTTCACTTTTCTAGACAGTGGTCATCCAAAGCAGCCTGCGTGTTTCACGTTGCGGCTCAAAAAGGTAGGGGAAAACCCAGGGACTGGCCTCATTTGGAAATTATTGGGGCAAGACAGAAAAGGGGGTGAAAAGGAAATGAAAAAAAAATAAAGAAAGGAAAGTCGCTGAGGAATTCGGAGTGGGTGGAAATAGAAGCGAGAAAGTACGTGAATGGTGTGTGTACGTGAGTGTGTGTGAGAGAGACACACACGGGGGGGGGAGAGGACTTTGCTTTGCCTCCTCCGAAGAAAAATCCAGTTATCCCTCCTGGTTGAATCGATCAGAAGTGGAAGAGCTGCCCAAGAAAAGCCTACAATAATCACAAAATCTCAGCACTGATTGGCATCATAATAATAATCAATAGGTGTTGGCATCATCAACCATCACGGGTGGAGGCATCTGGTTGCGGAGCCAGAGGCTGGGAGTTCGATCCCCAGCTTGTGCCTCCAAGGGAGAAGAGCCAGCCTGGGGTTCGATCCCCCGCTTGTACCTCCCGGGAGAAGAGCCAGCCTGGGTAGCCTTGGGCAAGCGGCACAGTCCCACAGCGCCCCTAGAGGAAGGCCATGGTGACGCACCCTTGAGTGTTCTCTATCTGGAAAACCCAGAAAAGGGTCGCTATTAAGTCAGAGTTGACTTGATGACATGCAGTTATAAATGATGTAAACCATCAATTACAGGTAATCATTAAAGTTTTTGAGCCGTGCAGCTATGTTGAAATGAGTAGAGTACCAGGAAATATTTTTGCCTTCCTTGTTGGGGACATAATCAATCATAGATAATGTTCTCCTTACCTCAGTTCCCCAAATTTTGAAAAATCCTCCTATCCTTGTTTTTTTTTTTTCCTCCCTTTGGATGGAGCTCAACAAGAGAGCACTGCTGTCTGGTACATTTTGCATTCATTAATAGATTCACAGGTCAAGTAACTTTAACTGCTGGATAGCTCGGTGTTTGGGGTCTCTGGGGTTGGGGGCTCGATTCCCCTGCTATGCCTCTGGACCGGGGATGGACTTGATGACCTACAGGGTCCCTTCCAGTTCTATATATATTATAGGTGGAGTTATAGCTTCAAACAGATGGCATGGCAATGCATATCTCATCACCCCTTTCCAACATAGTCAAGGACTTTGTGTCTCCAATGGGCAGCCCAATCCACTCCTGACTTCCAGAGGCAGGCAGCTGGGCCCCAAGTACGGCTAGTTTACAAAGACTTAGCCAGCTCTCCGTTTCTCTGATTTATACATGAAAACATCAACCTATGCTTTCTTTTTTTCATATTGACCCAGATTACAAAAACGAAAACGAAACGTAAAGCAAAATCTTTGTGACCTCTTTAAGACTAACAAGTTTATTTTACAATGGGCACACGTGGGCCACAATCTATTTATTCAGAGGTGCGGCACATTATATTTAGGCTAAAAGTTTATACCGCCAGTGCATAAAGTTGTTGACTTTGGGAAACAGTGGGGCACGAAGGCTGACAACTGCATTATTAACACCTGTCATGAACTTTCAGATTCCTTGAACGGACTGCCAATCAGCAGAATAATGAGCTAATGCTAAACGTCTATAGACAAATACACAATGGCCAGGTTTCATTCTTTGAAGTACTGAAGCAATGAGGTCTGCTCTCAATAAAAGATCGGTTGTAATGAGAGGGAGGGTTTTTTTTAAGGAAAGCAATTTTGGGGTTATACAAAAGGCTGATGTGAAAACCAGCATGTAAATATGTAATCTGTTATATAAATATAAAGTGGGGTTATTATGTCCCGTCAAGTCAGAACTGAGTTATAGCAGTCCTAACAGGGTTTTCAAGGTAAATTAACTTAATATATCTACTACATCACACCAGTTACCCCTTATACCTGCTAGATAGCTCAGTGGTTTAGGCCTCTAGCCGTGGGGCCAGAGGTTGGGAGTTTGATTCCCCACTCGGCCTCTTTGATAAGGGCTGTACTTGATGATCTAGAGGGTCCCTTCTAGCTCTGCAGTTTTTAAAGTATTCTAAGAGAGTATACATAGTATGACAAAAAGCACTGGGATTATATTTTTTAATTAACCTTTGACTTACACATTGACTATATAAAAATTCTGATGTTTCTCCCTCAAACTTCTTTTGGAAATCCATTTTTTTAAAAAAGCCACAGTAATATCCAGTTTGAAACCACTGACAGAATGTTCTGGAAGGTTGAAGTATTATGACTTGCGCCTCCGATGTGAGATTTATTGTCTTGTCTTGACTAGAGACACCCATTATACTTTATGCGGAATGCAGAAATGCACTGCTGAAAGACAATATAGCCCAGACATCAGATACCATAGTGGTGTAAAGGTAGGTCCCCTTTTATACATATGATGAGATGTCATTCAGAGTCTCCTGGTGCAATTCAAACTCTTAGCGTTCCTCTTTCAAGCTCTAAATGGACTGGGACCCCATTGTCTAAAAGACCGTCTCCACCCATATTTACTTCCCGCACCCTGAGGTCACCTTGCATGGGCTTCCTCCCTGAACCTCTGCCAAATCTGGTGAGGTGGGTGGCTAAAGGGGCAAGGGGAGCCCTTTTTAGTGGCGACACCAGGGTTTACCATCTCTTACGTTATATCTTTTTCTATGCCAGCTGTATATCTCTTTATTTGTCCAGGAATTTTAAGAAGGCCTGTGCATGGGTCTCCCGATTCTGTGTGACCCCAAAGAGGGGAGCTAACCTAATGAATTTCAGAAAACGAGCTTCCCAGATTGCCCGCTCGGTATCTTGAAGGTTTGGTTTCAAAAAAACTAAGCATAAACCTAGACAAAGGTGACTTACGCCCCCTTCCAATTTGATTTGTCCTGGATCTGAATTGATTTGTAAATTCACTTCCCTTCACTCTGGAAATGAATCTGGGCATCCTGTTTCTATCGAGACCTCGTACAAATTGGCCCCGATCAGGCCAATCCTGCGTGGAAATTTGAGATCCGGTACACAGCTCCACTTTTCAGTGTTTCTAGATCTTTACAGTGTTTATCTGTGCTGTATTTTTGCTTCTACTGGAAGACACCCAACGAATGTTCCCATGTACGTAGAGCAGAACGGTTAAATCCGTGTGATTTGTCAGTGTGTTGATTTACTATTAATCCCAGAGTGCAGCATACATAATAATGGTCTCAAGATACAGGGAGCCAGATTCAGGCTGAATTATAGGAAAAATGTCTTAACTGTTAGAGCAGCACAACAATGGAACCAATTACCTTGGGAGGTGGTGAGCGCTCCAGCGCTAGAGACATCTAAGTAAAAGATAAAGTCAGACAACCATCTGTCCGACCAAGTTTTGATTTAGTTTCCTGCATTAAGCAAGGCGTGTTGGACTTGATGGCCTTATAGGACCCCTTCCGACTCAATGGTTTATGATTTTATGATTCTATGACTCTGTTCTGTAGTTAATTCTAGCTAGATTTAGGCCATATTGTCCTGTTGCTAGTTTTATTCTGTTTATACCGGATCTACCTTACTGCCTTCATTTTCCTGCCCTTTTTTGGTTATTTTCATGCTTTTAATTAGCACACCACCCATAAAAAGTTTGTACCTTCCAATTTGTACCCCACCTGGAGAGCAGTTATTATCTGGTGGTTCAAAAGTGCAAGAAATGGAAAGAGAAATAGGGAAGATTTACATTCTAAATCTAAAACTCCCTTTCCTTTTAGAGAAAGGATGGGAGGGCAGCTCTTTTGACTGCTCCTGTTCTCCATCCAGAAAGTGCAGGACTAGAACCCCTGGATAATCCTTCTGCCTACAAGATACAACCACAGGTTTAACGGAGCACAATGTCAATTGTACCCTCGGTGAATCCTGAGACTGCTGCCGCCTTGTGGTAACATGGGTGCAATCTAGGAAACTTTTTAAAAAAAACACACCTCTGGTTTCGTTTTGTTGTATACTTCTCCAAAAGTCATGTGCATTTTCTTCACAATGTTGTTCTGTATCAACGGGCCACGAAAATTCATGAGTCTTTTTCAAATTATTTTTTTCTAATTGCACTTTTATTTCAATATTTTATGGAACTTTTAAAATTAATTTTATAAAGTGTATATGCTTAAAAAGAAAATTTGCTTTTCTGACCCTTCTTTTGAAGAAGGGTGCACTGATTGACTTGTGTTGTGAATAAGAGAGCATGTATAGTTATTTTACGTAATTCTGAATTTCCATACTTTATGTCATGTGGACTTTCTCCCTTTGAATAAAGTGTTGTGGTGATGTGCCTTCACCAATCAGGATGAAACGTCTCCGCTAGTCTAGTGATGGAACATGCCAGATACAAGTCAGAACCGACTTACTGTGACCCTAACAAGGCTTTCAAGGTAAGTGAGATATTTAAGGAGTGGTTTTGTCAGCCCCACTTCCCCAGCGAAGCCATGGTCACATGAGGGAAATGTTTTCTAGTTCAGCCCCACTTCCCCAGCGAAGCCGTGGTCACATGAGGGAACTGTTTTCTAGCTCTTCAGATACTTTCCATACTTCTATTGCATTGAACTGTGGTCACATGCTTTATGTCCCAGGACAAACGTCTCAAGAACTTTTAGAAGTA